GGCAAAATGTAGATTCTGTCACCAGAAGATTTCTAACATAGAATAGTTGATAAGTTTGGGATGATAGATTCTGCGCCCAGCAGTTGTGCTATTTGTTGATACTAAACTAAGATTGTCTGGTGTTTCCCATTTTGTGGTGACTCAGGTGGGCCAGAGGAAAAGAACATAGCCCAGATGGAATTTGGTCAGGCTTTGGGACAGGAAGATAGGGCAAGAACTGAGTACCAGGGGAAAGGTAAGCACATTAGAGTTCAGGCTGGTGAGAGTACCCACAACTGCACACAGGGACCAAGAGAGCTACCTCAGAGAGCTACCTCAGAGCTCTTGGTGGGAGAGGCATTGGTTAGAAGAAACCTGTGGTGTTGGGCTATGTACCAGGCTGGGGACAGAACAGACTGAGACCACCTGCCAGTGCCAAGACAGTGATAGCAAAGATCTATCAAGCCATGAATCCATAGACATGGATTAACTTTAATGGATATTCTAAATGAAGGAATCCAATCTTAAAAGGTTGTCTGTTGTATGATTCTAATCAAATGACATTCTGAAAAAGACTGTTTCTATTTAGGGGACAGATGAAGCTGATTTCCAGGGTACTGAAACTACTCTATAAGTCTCATCTGTCAAAACTAACAATGTATACCATGAAGAGTGAACTCAAATATGAATTGACTCTGGGTAATAATGTGCGATTATGTAAATGTGCCACCTTGGTGAGGAACGTCCTGAGTGTGTGGAGACAAGGTGTATTTCTGGAACTCTGTGGTTGAGTGTGGTATTGGAGTTCCTTTACACTCAGGTCACCACCAGGGCTTGCTGCTCACTGTTCAGCACTTAATAAGCATTTGAAAATAATGAAACAGTAGGACAGGCTGAACCAGACAGAGCCTGACCCACAACAAGAATGAGAACAGGAGAGGAAGAACTGGGGAGCAGTCCATCAGGCACCCAAGCTCAGCACAAGAAATCGAGCAGAAATGCTTCAGCAGCTGTCCAATGGCTGGCCTGCAGACTGCAGCGACGAAGGGCCACTGTCACTCTGGTCTGGATTACATATGGTGACTAACAAGTGCCCAGCTACCATCAATGATTATCAAAAATAAGTCCCAGGCAAAAGTTCTGTCAGTCATCTGCTTCTGTGACAATCCCTGGATGTGCACTGCTGGCTCTCTCCTAGTAAGAGATGAGTCCTAGAAGAGATGAAAACTTCCCGAAACCATAGCAGTGTTAAATTCCCACAGCATTCCTTCTGTATCCCCTTAGCCTTAGATTACATCCCCAAATCAGAATCATCCACCAGTGGGAATTTACTCTACAGTCAGTAAAAGAGAATTCCTCATTACATATAAACAGTGAACTGGGAAGGAACATGGGGAGGGCAGAACTTGGATGTATCCAACACTGACAGAGTCACACCCAGCAGTCACAAACACGTGACGGCCTACTGCCAGCTCTTTGGCTGGGGTTTTCATTTGTTTGCTTGTGTTTTGTTTTCTCTCCCCACTCCATTCAACCTGTCCAACTAACACATTACCTATTAAGCAGAATGTTTTTCACAGTTTCCGTGTGCAGAACACAGTGAAAAATACTTCCCACGCCTGGAACCTACACGTAGGCTTTCTTTTAAGAGCCTTTAACAAAAGTCTTCAGAACTCTCCAGTTTACCACCTTAGTATCTCTGCCTTTAAATCTACATCTGGTTTTGCATCCCCTACTCAGTAACCCTCTATACCATGGTCCACTTATCTCCACAACAATTCACTAAAGGAAACTTGTTAAGCCGCTTCAGATAATCTGCGGTTTTTTCTTTTAAAATGGTTTTCACTCAGTGGCTCCTCTTCCCGCCATGCTGCTGACCATAGTGTGGTGTGGCTTTGGCACTGGGGATGGATCCTGGGCATGGTCCAGGTGCAGTGCCAGCTCCACCTGAGTTCCTCCCAGCCCCCATGATGTTCAGTCCAAATTCTTCTGAACTTGCAGATCTGAAATTGCAAAGCACAATTGGCTCTGAAGTGTTTATTTCAGTTCCTCTCCACTCCAATGACAAGGCGAGGCCAAGCCAACCTTCCTCTGAAGTTTGAGAGAGTGTTTCTTATATACAGCTGGCAAATATTCCCAAGATTCTTCAGGAACAATTCTATGGCCTTCTCAGATTTTTCAGGAAAAAAAATGAAAAATTAAAAATCAGCAGTTTTGCTATAATCTACATTTTAAGAAAGGGGCTAAAAACAACTATTTAAAAACTATACCACACACCTAACATGCTACAAATTTACCAGATTTCAATTGAGTTTTAGGAAAGAATTCTTTATTAGCAAACCATTTAATATACAAATTTTCTTGATACTGATTCTGGAATTCCATGAACTGTTGTCATTACAGAAACATAGGAATACGGAAGTGAAGATACAGAAGACGGCTTCTACCTGTGAGCCACAGTGAGATTCCAGAATGCATTTTCTGCACCGGGCTGTTGTCAGCACTGGCTGTCATGGGGCCAATGCAACCTACATATACCACGACTGTTGTACTCATTGGATCTTTCCTATTTCACATAATTGGAAAATCATGAAAGGGACAAAAGTAAGTAAATAAAAAGCCTCAGCTTATCAATATGCTCAGCGAAGACCTGAAACAAATCATCTAAGGTGCATAAGAACAAAAGGTGAGCTGTACATTTCTCTGACTGCCACATGACTTTAGCAAACAGTGAGCAGTTTGGGGCCAGATCTCAACTGTGCAAGCTCTTGTCAAAAATTTAAAACTACCATTGGGGTTAGTCAAGGCTCTAAAATGAATTCTGCAAGCCAGCACAATACTATAAGCAAAAAATATATGCATATATGTATGTGTGTATGTATTTCCTTTTATTTATTTCTGTGTGGCTCTCAAGTATCACACACATTTGGGCATTCTCTTGCACGAGAGCGCGCGTGCACACACGCACACACGCACACACACACACACCATAGCATCCATTTGGAGGTCAGAAGACACTTTCTGGGGAGTCTGTGCTCTCTTTCCACTATGAGAGAGCTACAGATTGAACTCAGGCTGTCAGGATTCACAGCAAGGACCTTTATCTGCTGAGACATCTTACCAGCCCACACATGCATTTTTAAGATTATAGGTAGGGGAACAGAGCAGACGAGGCAACTAGTCTGACCTGAAATGAATTCCAGTGAATTTCAAACACACATCTTTCCTGGGCGGGGCAAGACACTTGTGTTCTGGAGGTGGTCCAAATTGCCCCTGGAAGAAACGAACTAGGCCACTGAGCCACTAAGTTCCCCTGACCACTGAGTCAGACATGAAGACAGCACACTTGTGCTCACTGTGGATGACAGGGTCAACACATGCCAAATCAGACTAAAGCAGCTCACCACTGAGGTGAGCAGAGTCAGATTAGTGGATAGAGGGAAGACATGTTCAACTGGCTCCTGGTTGCTATACTCCTCTGGATGTTGCCAACAAAGTTGGTATCAACTGAGTCCAGCTAGATCATTCTAAATACACTTATGTTTTTACCATAAAGTTACTACTGCAGAAAGCCCAAATATAGAAAATATACCTTTAATCCTTTCAGCACTAGGAATAAAAATTTTTAGAAAGTTAAAGGGGAAAAAAACCAACTTGCAAAGTGTTCTATGATATTTAAAGTAGTATCTAGGTGAAAATTATTAAAGTCATAGCAAAAGAAGTTTATTGAAGCCGGGCGGTGGTGGCGCACGCCTTTAATCCCAGCACTTGGGAGGCAGAGGCAGGCAGATTTCTGAGTTCAAGGCCAGCCTGGTTTACAGAGTGAGTTCCAGGACAGCCAAGACTACACAGAGAAACCCTGTCTCGAAAAAACCAAAAAAACAAAAACAAGAAGTTTATTGAAAGTTCGAAAAGCACTGGCTCACACAAAGATTTCTTTGTTTGTTTTTGGTTTTGTTTTTGTTTTTGTTTTTTACAAGTTTTAAAGAAATTGCCATGATCCAGGTTATTACTGTTCGTAGATGGCCATCCCAAATAATATCTTGGGGATTGGGAATTCTAGAATAAAAAAAAAGTGAGAATGTCCTAACGAGGCAGCGTAGAACATCGTTCTATTTGCTCTACGAACAGGTGCCTTTGGAAGAGCAGACATCATGTGAACCAACACTTGGGAAATGACCACTTCAATTACACTACCAGAGAAATTGACTCTTCCAAAGTAGATAAAGGGGCTGGGAGAGATGGCTCTGTGGTTAAGAGCATTGGTTGCTTTTCTAGAGGATCCAGGTTCAATTCCCAGAACCCATGTGGTAGCTCACAACCATCTTTAATTCCAGTTCTAGAGGATCTAACATCCTCTTCTGGCCTTCATGGGCACCAGGCATATAAGTGGTGCATAGAAATACAAGCAGGAGAAACAACCCATACATATATATATATATAAAAAAAAAGTAAATAAATCTAAAAAAAAAAGTAGATAAAGTAACCAAAAAGAATATAAGTGGAACAGGTGTAACTGTATTCCTTATGGCTAAGCTCACTATTCAAGTTAGTTTGTCATAACACACCCTTCTCATGAAAGGCATTTCCAGAGTAGAACCAGGTTCTTCCTCAGCAGCTCGCTTCAGCACTCACACAGCTGGCCTACCACAAAGCAGATCTCTCTCTAGTCCTTGCCCATCCTCTGGTCCTCTGTGTGCTAAGCAAGCTCAGAGCTTTACCTTTCGCCTTGTAAGGCTCAGGGTTCCAGAGGAGGACACAACCGATTCCTTAGAAGTTGGCCCCAGCAGAGGTAATAAAAACTTAAGAAGATAAGATAGTAACAGACTCCTAAGAACCACTAAGGATACCTGTACCTACATTTTTTTTCAACAGAGGAAAGGACTTGTTTCTACAAGTCACCAATAACCACATTTCTCCTACGTAAAGCATTCTTGAAAACATAATTCAAATCAATACAACTTCTTAGAGTCCAATGAGGTTAGTATTTTCCAGACTGAAACAGAACTAAACATTCATACCTGTGGTTGAGGTCTGTGGACTTTGTGTCCCGTCCTCCTCTGGCACATTTTGGGATCTTTGCACATACAAGTGTCTTGAAAATCCTCCCAGCACCAGATGTGGCATCAGTCACGCATCTGGCTGACTCCTGCTGGCCTACTGGCCAGTTTGTACTGTTTGCTGTACCACCACACATCTCCTGAGGGCATAGATGCTCTTCAGTTGATCCTGACCCTCAGTGTAGACTAGAGCACTCTGGAAAGTTCCTTCGTTATCTGAGGGATATTCCACAGTGACAAGCAGCAGCGCCAGTCTAAAGATCACTTCACTCCAAGCACAGCACGTGAGCCAAGCTACTACTAACTTCCTCTTTTAGGAGCTTAAAAAAGGGGACGTTCATTCTTCATGTAAATGAAGCCCAGGATGACTTCTAGAAGCGGACGTACTCTCAGTAAACTCGTAATGAAGTAGACAAGTGCAAATCTCTCCCTGCTTTTCCTAAGCCTGTACTCTAGTGCACTCAACAGGTCCAGCAGCTTGCACTGACTCACACCATCTGCATCCCGAGCTGACTTTACACACAGCCCTGCCTTCACTAGTCACGAGCCCAGCTCATGTGGCTCTGGGTAAACCTTCAGCTGCAAGGTTGCTCTGACATTGGCCACACCACCCTCTTAATGGTTCTCATGTGAGTATGTATCAGCTGACAGCTCCTACTCCACAACCTTGCAAAACTCACAGTGAGTGAAGGATAGGGCTACCCACAATAATCGAATGGAGATCTTAACATGTTGAAGGAGACATGTGAGGGATGAGAAGCAGAGTCGGGGCACACTCTGGCCTTCATATGAGTGGGGATGGAGAAGTACTGATAATGAGAGGCAACTGACAGTAAAATAAAAAAACCTCTTAACTCTTTTTTTTCTTTTCTTTTTTTTTTTTTTTTGGTTTTTAGAGACAGGGTTTCTCTGAGTAGCCCTGGCTGTCCTGGAACTCATTCTGTAGACCAGGCTAGCCTCGAACTCTCGAACTCAGAAATCCGCCTACCTCTGCCTCCCAAGTGCTGGGATTAAAGGCGTGCGCCACCACCACCTGGCCTCTCTTAACTCTTCTTGCATTGAACTCCTGGGCATATTCAAGCTGAGAAAGCCCTCAATTACCAGAACCCTAGAACAGTTCTGGCTTCTAACATCAACATAGCTCACCTGGATATGAGAATGTTATGAAATAAATTTGAGCTCGTGGTCCATGGAGAAAGTGTTTTCCTTTAAGAATAAAACCCACAGGTCCCCTAAACACAGGTCAAGGCTAGAAACAAACAACAGAGTGGTACCAATTCTTTTTGCCTGGAATTAGGTCGAAGAAAGTACTACTGGGTCTATCTCCAAGGTCTAGCGAACCCTTGACTGGCTCTATGGTCTTAGTCCTAAAAGTATCTTTATAAATTATCCACTAATTTAAGGTAAGGAAAACTAACAATGTCAGGCCCAGGTCTCAGTTACCTTAAGACACTTTACATGCCACCATACATGAGACCAGAAGATCCCTCCCACCCCCACAATGAACAACAACAAAAAAAATCCCCAAGTAACCAAGATTGCAACACACCTATGACAACAAACTGTCTTCTCTGTGGCAATCACTAAATTGATAGTATCAAGATAGACTCAGATTAGGAGAGAATGAATTTCTTTTTGCAGGAAGGGCTTAAAGCTTGACTACAGGCCACAATCTAATTATGGGTTCTTTTTTTCCTTTGAACTGTCTATCTAAAATAACTTAAAAAAAACCAAACAGAAAATATCCAAACAATATGAAAAATAGTTCCAGTTTAAGGGACAGAGCAGCTTGGGGACACAAACAGCCCACTAAAGAACAAATCAGTATCTCCCAATCATCTGATGCTCAGACTAAACTTGGCTGAAGAAATGAGAGGACAGGCTCAAGACGGATAAGACAATGCTTTAAAAATGGCATAAACTGCAGGGGTGGGTGGGAAATGGGGGTAGGAGGATGGAACAGATCTTTAATCCTAGCACTGGGAGACAGAAGCAGGCAAATCTCTGTGAGTTCAAGGCCAGCCTTGTCTATAAAATGAGTCCAGTACAGCCAGGGTTTGTTACACAGAGAAACCTTACCTCAAAGGAACAAACAACTAAAGAATTCTATACAGCAGAAGTGCTAGGGGAAAGAACCTCATTTTTTGTATAGCAGGTGAATTTGGGGGCTGACTTGGTAGTGTGTTTGGCTAGCATGCCTGAGGCTGACACTCAGTTCCCAGCACCTCACAAACAGACTGCATCAAGTAAGCCTCATCAAGTCTCAGCAAAGACAGTCTGAGACCAGCCTGAGGTACATGGGACTGTCAAGTGTCAGCATTGGGGCGTAAAGACAGTCCGAGACCAGCCTGAGGTACATGGGACTGTCTTAAAAAATAGCAATAATGAAATACATGATTTTTTGGCTTAAAACTTCAATCTGTATTTAACTAGTATGTAAGGAAAGATCATAAAACACTTTTTTTTTAAGGGGAGGGCTACTGAGATAGACCCCAGGGCTAGACAGGTATTCTAACCATTGTACTATACCTCCAGCTGTCATGAAATTCTTTTTCAACATTATGCACACATTTAGTAGTTTAGCCACAAAACTGGTATTCCCAAATTCCCAATAATGTCACAGATATATATATATAATTTAAAACAAGAACATACCAAAAAAAAAAGGCATGCTCACAAAAGACATTTAGGTGATAAGGATCTGACTGCATCTAGATGGGATTCTCTTAAACAGAAACTAAATTAACCACACTCCTGAGAATCACTTCCTTACACAGTAACTGTACGACCCCAATGGGAATCGTCCGTATGACCCAGGCCTCTAGCCTCTAAATTCTTCTATAATAACTTTAAGCACACTTTAAATACCTACTGCATGCCTATTTTTCTATACTAAGTATGTTGTAGGATGTTTAGTAAATTATAAACTATTAGCATATAAAAAGTGAGTCTTGGTACCCTTCTTTGAATCACAGACAGATTTTTACCTCTGGTGAAGACACTTTAGCAAGCATTCCATATTTGCATTAAAGCTCTGATACAAACCTACCTGCAACAATCGGTATGTCTCTGTGACAGTCTGATGTCTGGGATACTGCATAACCTCCCCCCTGCTACAAAGTTCCCACAGAGGCTTTGAGATCTTGTGGTCATTCTAATCAATATGACTCATGTCATCTCTTATGAGAAAAGACATCGAAACTTACAAAACCTGAGAAAGTGACTACATTTCCTCTCTTACTATGTTCCTTAATCTTTAATTCTCTAATTCAAAAATCTAATGAAATAAATAGAATACAAAACCACACCGTCATATTTAACTTTGAAGCAAGCCTCTTTTCTACCCCAAATTGTCTCATAGTTAAATAAATCTTCAAATTTCTGCAGTAAATTAAAAACAACTGTATCACCACAACCATCTTAGACAGAGGTAAGAAAAGGCATGTTGAGATCTCCTGAGCTCGACACTGCTCTGCTTATTTTAAATCATCTTCCTCCTGAAATGGAACCATCCACTTACACAGGGCCTCACACTGTGTATAATCATGCTGGGTACCCTACTCAAATGCTAAAACCACACATACCACAATTATCACCAGTTTTATTTGTAGCCCTACTCATGGGCCTTCCCTATTTTCCTCACAAAGCTCATCCACACATTATAGAAGAGCACCTAAAATCGTCCACAGTCACTGACTAGACCCCACAGCTCAGCTGCAGCTCAGTGCTCAGTGCACACTGCCTGCAACCTCTGCTGCCTCAACTGGCTGGGTCATAGCACAGCAAACTTCAGCTGTTAGGAGGCAGGGCCAGAGAGTACTGAAGGTGCAATGAAGCCCTGCAATATCTGAAAGGAATAGACTACAGGTTACAGTTTTTGGTAATGGGGTTGACACCAGGACCTCACAAATGCTATGTATGTGCTACTCCTAACACAGTCCCAGCCTCACAGTGGTTTAAACTGCTGTTGCACTGTTTCCATTCACAAATCCCAGGCACTGAAGTGGTCCTACAGAACAGCAAATTTCTACCAGTTAATGGCGTATCACTTAGACAGCAACTGTACTTAATGTGACTGCCACCTGTTAAGAATCTCTGATCACCCACAGCACTGTTTCCTGTCATGCACACAGTCTTCTCCAAAACCATTCAATACATGGCTGCAGGACCATCTCCTCTCCAAGACACCAGGGGAATGCGAGTTTCCACACCTGATGTAAAGTTAGGAGAATTCAAGGCAGGAAAGTTTCAAATTAAGTACTGGTGCATTTTCCTATCTCTCTAACTTCATACTGCGAAAGGGGAAGCAGTGTTCACAATACATAATACATAATATGAAAACCCAACTCAAAAGCCACAATTGAGGAATGGGTTAGGAAAGAGAAGACAAATCTAAAACCTGGCCCAGCCCCTGCAATGTTCCCACATCTAATAACCCACTTAAACAATCCTTCTCTACCAATTCACATTCTCTTCATGAGAAACAAACAAAACCGCAGGCCACAGTATCACATCCAACCACTTACTCTATCTTCCTCTCTTCCATCTCCAACAACTGACGGCTTAGCTGTGATTTTTCAAAATGTGGTGTCTAAGAGCAGACTTGGGAAGATTAAAAGATGCTGCTTCTTGATCTCGATATTGGAGATGTAAGCACTGACCAAGTAGAATACGTAGTTTCCTGCGTGTTATCACTCAGAAGGAAGTGGGTTGAAATTTTAAAAAGGCATATCAGGTGTGGTGGCACACATCTGCAATCCCAGCACTTGAGGGTCAGAGAATCAGGGCTATGGGCTGTAGAGATGGCTCAGTCAGTAAAGCGCTTGCTGAGCAAGTATGAGCACCTGGGCTCCATTCTCAGCACCCTCATAAAAGCCAGGCACTGCAACGCATGCCTGTAAGCTCAGCGCTGAGGAAGCAGACACAGGAAGATGCCTAGGCCTTGCTGGCCAGCCAGTCTAACTGAATAAACTCTGTGTTCAGTGGCAGAAACTTACCTTCAAAATAAGATAGAACGTGACTAAGACGGTTGTCCTTGGCTACAAAGCAAGTCTGTATGATGTCAACAAGTATCTTGAGTTACATAAGACCCTGTCTCAAGAAAAACACAAAACCCAACACTCACGGCCCAGACTTGTAATGTCAGCACTCCAGAGGTAGTAGCAGCAGGAGGATCAAGAGTTCAAGGCCATCCTCAGTTATATAGCAAGTTTGAGGCTA